TGAAGTTCACACAACACAAGTTATCACATTTGCACAATGCCCACCTACTGTATATTTTGCATGGACATCCCGTGAAAACTTGAACCCCACTCAAATTATGTAACTTGTTCGTGTGGATAACAATGTTGAGAAGATGCTGTGCTCTGCGCTGTGAAAGTAAATTCGGTTTATTTTTACTTCCAAAGGATGAGGATGTGAAGAATCAGTGGTTAAATTTCATCTTAACTACGATACCACAGCAGTATAATCCTAGCCTTTTGCTGTGTTCCCGTCATTTCACTAACGACTGCTTCTAAAATCTCCACGAGTTCAACGAGTTGCTTTAATGTCTGTTGTTCTTATTACTTGGAGTCATGACAAAGGATAGAGCAATACATTAGTTTACAAACTGCAGTGCTTTATCAGTACTCCATGTATCTGACCAATCAGAGCAGAGTAGCCTCACGCAAAGGAGGAGTTTGGAAAGATGAATCTTCAAACGAATCGTTTGAGAGTCATTGAGAAATAAGGTAAAATTAAATATTATATAAAAACGAAAGTGTTTTTTGAACTTGCATGCATGTAAACCTGTTGTTGGCGACTCTCAAAACCAAATTATGCCCCTTCAAATAGCATAATAGGGGCACTTTAAATGATTCATGTGAAACTCATGTACATAATTAAATCATGCAAATCCAACAGTATACTTTAGTGGGTAAAAAAGTATTCTACACTTTAGTTAATTGCATTTAATGTAAATGTAAACTATAATAAATTTTCATTTTATTGTAACTTGCAAATAAGTGTCTAAAACATTACATTGAGTTTGCAATTAAATATATTAATTTGAAGTATATTCTTTTTATGCTAAAGTGTACTTCTTTGGGGAATTTTTTCTTCTCTAAAAGAAGAAAAAATCTTCTTTTAAAAAGACAGATTTTAAAAGTCTGACTGATCTTAAAAGACTGATGGAACACAAACTTAAAGATTAACGTTCAATATGGTAGCTGTAGAAAAGGTAGAAAAACATCATAATTTAGAAGTAATAAACTATTTTCAGTCCTGTTTTTAACCCCCACATCAGAGCGCTCTGTTTGAGTAGGTGTGGCGGATTGTAGACTCGGAAGTAAATGCCCACTGCTATGATTGGCTAACAGTGGTGTATGTTTGACAGCGCATAAAGAACTCAATACATATCGAACGATCTGTAAGAAGAGACAAGGCAACAGTGACCACGTATTGAAAACCATTACTCACACTTGTGTTGCGACATTACTGTTGGATCCAATATAGTCAGCACAGCATTGTCTTCTAGTCACAGCATCATCTTTAAGTTTCAATCTTTTTGAAAATCCTGAATTTTCAAAAAGATTTGAAAAGCCTCAAATTGTGCCTTGTTTGTAAACGAATCCGTGGTAAAACGAAGTGAAGGACCAAGTTCTTACTGATGCAGTCTGGATCTTCATTAAAAATCAAATTCTTTCGTCAGAAGGAAATGCAAAGACTGATTTCCACAACACTGCACAGCATCTTGTATTCAGAGCCATCTTTATCGTTTGGTTTCTGCGTAGACTTGCACATTCGCCTCTCTCGTAAACACTACATGCACGAATCGGTGGGCGGAGCTAAACAGGCAGTGATGTCGAGGCATTGATATTCTTTTGCGGAGGTGGTGCGTATCCACACTATTACATCATAGAGTAGAACATTCCAAAAGCTGTCGTTTTGGCAGACTGCCTTCAATATAAGCTGTATTTAGACTAACGACAAAGTTTTGAGTTCTGAAACTTACAGGATGTATTTATAGTACAATGAACTCTTATATGTCAAAAGGGAATTTTGGTTTCTCGGTTCATAACACCTTTAAAGACCTCTCTTAGGGTGTTTATCTTTGGTTTCTGAGCTGATTAGTGATCCAAACCAAGAAAACACTCAGAATGGCATGTAAAAAATTGAAGTGCCTCATATGCAAAAGCATCTTATTTCCATACATACAGTATATGTTTATGTTCAACACATTATTCAAAATGTGTGCCTCAAATATCTTCTGAATCATCGTATGAGAAATCTTTTTGAAAATCCTGAATTTTCAAAAAGATTTGAAAAGCCTCAAATTGTGCCTTGTTTGTAAACGAATCCGTGGTAAAACGAAGTGAAGGACCAAGTTCTTACTGATGCAGTCTGGATCTTCATTAAAAATCAAATTCTTTCGTCAGAAGGAAATGCAAAGACTGATTTCCACAACACTGCACAGCATCTTGTATTCAGAGCCATCTTTATCGTTTGGTTTCTGCGTAGACTTGCACATTCGCCTCTCTCGTAAACACTACATGCACGAATCGGTGGGCGGAGCTAAACAGGCAGTGATGTCGAGGCATTGATATTCTTTTGCGGAGGTGGTGCGTATCCACACTATTACATCATAGAGTAGAACATTCCAAAAGCTGTCGTTTTGGCAGACTGCCTTCAATATAAGCTGTATTTAGACTAACGACAAAGTTTTGAGTTCTGAAACTTACAGGATGTATTTATAGTACAATGAACTCTTATATGTCAAAAGGGAATTTTGGTTTCTCAGTTCATAACACCTTTAAAGACCTCTCTTAGGGTGTTTATCTTTGGTTTCTGAGCTGATTAGTGATCCAGACCAAGAAAACACTCAGAATGGCATGTAAAAAATTTAAGTGCCTCATATGCAAAAGCATCTTATTTCCATACATACAGTATATGTTTATGTTCAACACATTTTTCAAAATGTGTGCCTCAAATATCTTCTGAATCAAACATCGTATGAGAGTGAGGGGAAAATTCCTTCACAGATTCAGATGTGTGTCACAACCCCCCTCTGTCCCAGACTGCTCATTAGTATTCCATGCATTTATGAGTTCACACACGCACACACACACACACACACATCTGTGGGAATATGCAGCCTTACCAAACCCACCAGGAAGCACCAAGACTGGCCCCCTTTCACATGAGCATGAACAATGAAAACTGCCCCAGTCCCTTAATCTCACGCACACACACACACACAAACCGCTGTCCTAAAGCTCAATGTCACTGTGTCCTTACCAGCTCCATAAATTATCTTATGATCCGAGATGAAACAGAGAAGTCATTGTTCAACATTTTTATCACTACTATGTACTTTCTAAATGCATGACATTAATGTGATCCATATTTATTTCCCTTCATCTTAATTCACAGTGGGGATGTGCAAAAAAAAAAAAAAA